GGGGCCGTGGGGGTGCCCTCGCCCTCCCCGCAGCAGCCAGGCCCCAGGGCCCTGTGCTGGGGCAGCCAAGGCAGCAGGTCCCCGTGGCACTGCCCAGGGCGTAGAGGGCAGCTCGTCCCTGCCCTGCTGCTCCATGCTGGGTATGGGGATGCGCTCACCTGACACACAGGGAGCGGTTTCATGAAAGAATTTTGTTTTGCTTTGTTAATTAAAAGCAATCGCCATCTAAGCACCAGCTTTTGTAACGAAATTTGGGATTTAAGGAACAGATTGTATTTTTCATTCGTAGTTTAAACCTCTCTGCAGCTAACAGAGCCACGCTCACTAAAGTGAAAACACGAGTAGAGGAGCAGTTTGGACTTGGCAGTGTCCAACAGCTGTTGGGTGCGATCCCGGAGCTGCATCTCCCCGGAGCTCGTGGCTTGTTCAGCCTTCTCCACCCCAGCTCCACACACTCCACTTTGCAAAAGAGCAGCGGGCTGCAGCTCTGCTCTGACACCAGCCCCAGCTTTGCTAGCAGTAGCCAGGTTTGTGGTGTTGGGAGTTCCTTCGGGGTGAAAACCAAAGTTAGTGGTAGCCAAGCAGGCACGGTCAGCGCGACTGCCGCCTCCAGCAGATCGGCTGAACCCTGTCCTTGCTTCCCTGGAGCCTGGGGGCCGTGCTGGTGAACTCCTAGCTCCCTGCTAAGCTTGAAAGCTTCAGCGACGTGTCCCCACCCCAGCAAAATTCTCCTAGAATTAGAGCAAGTAATTGATATGTGTGAGTGAACTTCAGGTGTGTTAACAGTAAATCGTGTACAGTACATGTTATATATACATACGTACAGACACCGTGCCGTCTATCTCGTTTGACTGTCCGAGGATGTTGCATTCATCATGGGTCCCAATAAAAGCAGAGGCAGGTGAGGCATGCATCTTTTTGTATGTCGTCTTTTGTACTTCAGTAACTCCAAGTCTACAAGAACCTTGCCATGGTATACAGATAGCTCTTTGAGTTGCTTGGTCTCGTTTAATTTATGTAAAATAGCTCTAATAAACCTATTTTATTCTTACATCTCCTGCATTGCATTTATCTTCAGCTAACAGATAAATTCTGTGTAACATTCCTCCCAACAGCTAGGAGCATATAAAATAGGCACCACAAAAGGGCCTTAGAAGAAGGTGGGATGTGCACGGTGGGGGAGGTGTAGAGACGTTTTGTTGCAGGAGAACCGAGAAGAAGAGGGCCACAGCTCCCCTCTTCACCCATCACCTGTCTCAAGAGCAGGACTCAAGCTGCGCACCAAGCAGGAGTGAATTGGGTTGGCAGTACTGCTTGCCAGGGCCCTCCTGCCATGCCAGGCGGCTGCAGTGCAGCATTGCCTGAGGCCCAGGAGCCTTTCAGCTGGTGCTTTCCATTTCCAACCAGGGGGCACAGCCTACAGCAGGCATGGCGCATAGCACAAGCCCCGAAAGGCTACTTGATAAATCCAGCCTTCTAGGAAAGATGCGCTGCCCATCTGCTAGGGATATATCCCCCATTATATTGAAAAATCATTGCTTTTGCTTTATTTTGGGTTTAAACAGCTAATCCTTCACCATCTCCCCATAGCAGCTTTTTTTCCTCACTGTGCACGTACTGCTCCTATTACCAAAATCCCTGACAGCAAGCATAGCACAGGACAAAGCTACCGGTATGCTGCAGGTGCCAGTCTTCCTAGAGACCTTTCTTTCTATGTGGTGACATTTGCTGCCATGCAGACCACCACGCTAAAGCAACTGGAAACTCCGCACCTCACCAGGAAGCGTGGGCATCCACAGCTCAATTCAGAGCAAGACAAAGTTGGCAGAGTATGAGATTGCCTCAGCAGCTGCTAGCATCTCAGTAACATTTCACTTTCTACAAGCTGCGAGACTTCAAATGAGTAATGCTGAACTCCTGGGCTGGAGCACCAGCAGAAAAAGCTGTGCCACGACACCACTGCTAAGGTGCTGGGGGTGCTGCCCCTCTCCTGGGGCTGCTCCCAGCCCTTGCCTGCTGCCAGCACCACTCCGTAGCCCTTCCCCAGCAGCTCCCAGGGATGAGTCTGTCTGTAACGTGCTCCATCCACCTGTTTTTAATTACCAGTGTCCTTAGCCAGAGGAGAATACCAGTTGCTTTGATAGCACACACCTGTGGGGATCACTCTGTGTATTAGGAGAGCCCATTACAGGCTGTTTAGTCAGTGTGTTTTCATGTTGATCAAGGTAGGTACTTCAGTTCAAATGCTTTTTTTCCATAAGGCACCTGCCCGATTTTGAACACCCCCATTGCCTTTCCATAGCCCTGCAGGATCACGGCAGTTCCAGAAGCACCTTTTGAAAACAGAAAGGCTGAGATAGGTCAACATGATGCTCTATTTACTGTTTTAAATCCTAAATAAAGCATAAAGGCTCCTGTCCCAAACTGCAGAGCGAGTCAGAGGCAGCAGCACAAACACGCTGCCCGAACAAAGCAGAGCCTTTCCAGCAGGCTCAGCGGGCTGACAGCCGCGCAGCACAAAGGTCTGAGCTTGCTGCTGCTGTCATGAGCATCAGGAACATGATTTTTCGATCTCTGCTGGCAAAAGCTAAAAGAGTAAAAGCACAGGGAAAGAAAAAAAAAAAAAAGATTCAAAGAACTGATGGACATACAGACCAAAAAAAGTCACAAAGCAATTAGCTTAACCGGGGTAGGGGAATGTGTAATGTGTAGAAGCACCTTTGCTAAATATTTTTCAACTAGTAGTTACTTAAATTGGGAAGCAAGAATGCAAGGCTACAAGTACACGTGCAATACAACAGAACTATTTGCAGAGCACTGAATGCTACGCTGGATCTCTGAAACACAAACACTGGGAGCACTGAGCTGAATCTACAGAAAAAGTGCAGAAATGAGCTATTATATGCTTTAAAATATACAATCCTATCTTAAAGATGAAATAACAAGAACTTTTACCATAGTTCTTCACAGCTACCATCCCCTAACACACAAAAGAGATACATTTACAACATTTAAATTCAAAACAAATGACTGAACAATGCAGATATAGGGAGACCAGGTGACCTGACTGTGTAGGACTGGAAAGAACGGGGAAGTAGGCACCATGGGGAAAACATCCCTGAAAGCTAATTTCATGCCCAAGAAACTGCTGCCTTTGGGGTGGTGCCATGGCTGGGGTGATAAGCTCCTCCTGAGCTTTATCAGGGCATTACAGTCATGAAGCAGATGCTCTGAACCACACATTTCCCTAAACAGAGGCCTTTGAGACCGCCCTTGTGGTCTGTAAGGCACCTGAAACAAAAGTTAGCAATTCACCTCAGATGCCCTTTCTTCACTACAGAGGAAAAAAAAAAAAAAAGTAGATTTGGCAGAACACAATACACGAGACACTTAATCTGTTCATAATAAAGAAGTAAGATGCAAACATATGCCTAAACACGGCTGAAAATGGGACTTCAGCTTCTCGGAAAGTTAAGGGAATGCTTCAAGAACAGGCAGCAGGTCAGTTCCTCGGAAGCACAGGGTGAAAATGGCAGGACTACAAAGACACATTAAAAGATGAAAGTGAGATCTCAGAGAAACAGCCAACAATCTTCATGGAACTATTCTGTTCCCACCACAGAGCTGTTTAAAAGGCAGGGGATTAAGGTATTCACATTTCCACATTTGGTATGACAAGACAAGGGAGCTCCCTCCATTGCCTCCCACAGAAGCTTTCAGGCTCTTTTCAATGGGCAGCTGGAGGTCCTACGCCCACATTTTGGCAGTAGCCATGTCCTTTAATTTCATTAACTTAAAGAAGTGGGGTTTGTAACTCCTGAGCATGGTCTGAGGGGTGTCTCAGCAGCCTCAGTAACACCCTGCCAAGAGGGCAGGAGCACAGGAGCTGCAGCATTAGGCCATGGTGCTGCACACACAGCTTCCACCTGGCAGGGATGAAATGCTGGAGGCAAACAGGGCAGGGAGGAAAGTTCATAGCTTTTCTGCATGTGTAGGGCCAAGTTTTACCCCAAGCTGATTTCCTCATAGCCAGCTGAGGCACGGAAGCCCAGAACTTTCTGGAAGCACTCAGGGCACGCAAGCATGTGTCAGTGACAGAAAAGGCAAAGGGTGTGAGAGGGCTTTACAGGTGTCTGTGCACTTCCCACAGCTGTAAGGAAATGGGTGAAGACTCAGAGGTCACAAGGCAAACCATGGATGTTTCATTCCGCACTCGAGACCCCTGGAGCTTGTCACCCTGTCACAGGAACTGCTGCCAGCTTGCTCCAGGGCCCGCCACAGGGAGCCCACAGCTGTCGGCCATCACGTTATTGTCTGCTTGGAGCTCGCTGACCACAAAACGCCTCAGGAAACACCCAGGGAGCCTCTGCCAGCAGGGCCGGCCTGCACCCTGCATGCATTAGCTTCCCTCCAAAAAAAAAATCATGCAGTGGTTTCTGTTCCCTAGTTATCCAGCTGGTTTGACTGGGAACCATATAGCCCTTGGTTCCCCCTGCTCGGCCTCTGGAGGCTTTCCACTGGTAATACCTGGATCGGGGACTGCCACCACCCCAGCCAAACTGTTCTCCCCAGTCCTTACAACCACCTGTAACCAAAACCGATCTAGTGAGGCATCCCTGAACCTCTGGAAGGGGAAAAAGGAAAAAAAAAAAAGGCCTTTATCCCTACAACCGGCAGGCCCAGCTAGCTGTCCTCAGCCCCCAAGGGCATGCAGAACTAACACCACACACACACAGGACTCACTCAGGCCACTCCCCAAAACACGCCAACATCCACCAGAGGAAACTCCAAAGAGCACGGTGAAACTCCACTCACATCCCAAACGGCATTACCAGGCTTGGTAACTGCTGTAGTATCCTGCAGTATGTTAATTAACAGAAAATGGACACACGTTTCTGGTCATTCAGATTATTTTTTTTATACATGCTCGTTTGCTTTTTGGACATGTTAAGATCTGTAAAGGCAAAAAAATAATAATAATAAATATTCAGACACCTAAATACAGCTTCCTCTCAATTTGTTTTATTTGGCAAAGTAGCAATTCAGACAGTTCACACAGCATTTATTCAAGCTCTTCGAATCTTCCGCATGTCAACTTGTCCTCCGAGAAGCTTTCCCTTCAGAACCATTGCTCCGTCACAGAGGGGTCTTCGTTCCCCAACGCCTAAACGCTGCTCCTGGGTGCTCCTCTGCCCGAGCACCTCGACCACCGCAACCCCTCCCGTGGAACGGGCACCCCGCTCCCGGCCACCTTGGTCCCTGCAGCCTTGCACCTCCTGAAGTGGTTCTCCCCAAAAAGCTGTTGCCAGGTCTCAGCTTTGTCACCTCTTCCAAGCTAGGCTAGCTTGTCACGCTGTGCCCAGAGACGAGAATTTGGATACAGTTGAGCTCTTAATCTCTCGTTTGACTGATCAACTTAGTGAGAAGATGTAAGTAAAGCTGAACTCAAATTGAATGAAACAGTGACCAAAGGCTGAACATTAGCATGCATCGTTTAAGATATTTCACTTCAACACCAAGAACTAGATTCACAGTTGATTGTGGGTTAGTACAAATTTGTCAGACGCAAGTGGGTTTTTCTGAATTGTATTTCCTAGAATACAGGCTGTATTCATTCCTTTGTCAGATTAATCCTTGTGTGTGTGCTCCCAGGCTGCACGCAGGTCAGGAGGTGGTACGGTAACTTCCACACATCTACGTGACTCGATACCTAGCGTTCCCAGAGGAATGGGATTGAGCTGACCTTCGAAGGAAGGTTATTTGAAATGTTTTATTTATTACCTCTTCCGTATTCAGAGGCCTTTGAATTTTAACCTTTCAGTGATTCAACCTGTCACAAAGATATTGCTGTTCCACCATAAACAGCCAAATGCATTTTGCAGTGATCACTACAGGTTGCTTTTATATAGTTATTTTATAATCCTTTTTATCATTAAAAAAAAAAAAAGAACAAGAACATGCTGTTTTACCTTATTTTCTGGTTGTACAGATCCGAGCAAGAAGGCTCAGACAGGCTTCCCCACTTTCCCAAAGCAGCTCAATTTACTGTACTGCTTTGCATTTGCCTGCTGTCATATTACCATACCCAAACAGAAAACGTGGGGCAAAAAAAAAAAAAAAAAGTTTATAGCCTTCCAACTATTCTTCTATATGAAAATGGAACAATTGCATCTCTATCAGGAGATGTTACTCCTCCTGAATGTGTCACATTTTCATTGTATAACAATAAAGAGTTCGCTCCCTAAAAACCCAGATTTCTTCCTGGGTGCCCACAGAAAAAGGAGAACGTTACTACAGCAGGTGGCTTTGTCAAAAGCAACTTTCACTTAGGACTAACTAAACATTCATTATTTTTTTTTTTCATTTCCTATTTTTAAAGAACCTAAGGATCTGTATGCCTACCACATGCTGACCCTAATCCTCCACACAAGCACAACCTCCTTGCTGCTTTTACATTAATTATCCCAGTGACTGGGATGAAGTTCGCATCATATTTCTGGACTTGAATTTAGGTGCATTGTATCAGCAGCCAGCTACAAACCAAACCAGAGTTTCAAGACTCCATTAGTTAATGGAGAAGGGAAGGGAAAACAATGTCTCACGCCCAACAGCAATATTTAGTAAGAGTGGCCACCTCTGATGTCTTGAAGTTTAATATTTACAAATGCCTGGTTTTAAGGTAGTAAAGCAGTTGATTGTATCTACTACATGCTAGTCTATGACACCATGTCAAAAGCTTAAAAAGGAAGTTCATCTCCTTTTAGTAGCATCTAGCAGACATCGGAACACAGAAAACCTGATATTACCTATGTAGTGTCGTAAGGTGCACAGAAGCAGTTTTACCAAGGGACACAGGAGCCAAGAGAAGTGAGTGTTCAAGTACCCCCATCAAAATTAGAGTTCACAAGCTATAGGTCTTCATCTGCAGCTCTGCAGAAATCCGCTTTCAACAGATGAAAGTAAAATAAAGGCATGTTAAATAAAACAGTGCCCACATAAAACTTTCCACCATGTCTTTATCAGATTTGCCTTGAGCATCTAAGAAAATAAAACAAACACCACGCTTTTCCATGCTGATAACAACAGTATAACGAAGTCCAAAACAAGCTGCAATGCTGTTGGTTTCAAAAAGCTTTTAGAACTGGAGATGAGCAGTCCACTGTAACACTATGTTTGGGTCAAGATGATGTAGCTTTTACAATTCATCCCTGCAGAAAGAAAACACACGCAGTTATGATTCTTCTCCCTCTGGAAAGCATACTTGATAAGTTTTGATACTGTATCAGAATACATTTATGCATTCAAACATATCAGCAAAACTTCAGAGATCTCATCAAGCATTCAATTAAAAAGGAAAAGCAACAGCAATCCCATATTGACTTGTACGATCATTATGTGATGCGCTGTGAAATATGGGTCCCTCCTCTCTTTCACATTTAATGGCTCATTTACCTAAATGAGCATCCACCACACCACCAAAACCAGTAACTTTGTAAAGTTACACAGCTATTTGTCATCCAAACCCTGCTGGCAAGAAGCTGAACCAGCTTACTAGACAGAGCATTGGCAAAAAAACATGCTCAGTAGCTGCCAAAGTTTAACCTCAGCTGCAGTCTCTCCAGAAAGCTAGGAACACCTCACACCAACGCCATGAAGTCTGCACCATTTCATTTATTTTTCAGAGGAACTCTACCAGCTCCTGAAGGAGCTCCTGAAGGACCTGTATGCTAAATCAGGGCTACGTTCTGGAAAGGGGGAGTGAGGGGCTGTTACAGCAAAAGCAGGTTCAGGCAGGGGAAAGGATGCATCAAGAAGCCTCTCTAAATCACTGTGAGGACTCCAGAAAATATATTTTTTTCTTCCCTACGCATCATTTAAAACACATTGGAACAGGAAATCTATAGAACCCATATTCCAGCAGTAAAATTATCATGTATTAGCGATTTAAGTATTGCTAAAGCAATAACTTTAATACCAAATGTCCATCAAATCTGAAAGCTGTGAATATGAATGAAAATTCAAACAGAAGTGTTTGCTTTTTTTTTTTCTCTCCCCCTTCCCCTCCTCCCATGAGGCACAAGCAATCTGTAAACCAACAAAGAATTGCTCCAGTTTTTCTTTCGGTAGGTGCATCACCCTCATCAGCCAAAGCAAACACTGTCTGAATTAAGAAAAACTTCACTAATGTGATTGCTGGCTCAATGCCTGCTAGCATTTCCAGCTGGTATATCATGCAAACTAACCACAAAGATGCAGTGCCACATGCACACAAGCAAAAGCTTCAAGTTCCCGAAGGCGTTATCCTTCCAAGTTCACACAGCACGGAATGGCAGCATGCGCACAGCTTTAAAAGCAACCAAAAGTTTGTTGCAGGTAGTGCCTGAGTGACTAGCTCTAGCTGTGGCAGCTGGAACACAAACCTTCGGATTTGTTAGTCATAAATATTTGCATTCTTTGCACTTTGCACTGCCTTTTAGTAGGGACGTACTAATAATAGAGATTCAGTGTTGCAGAAGTTAGAGAAAAAAGCAAAAGGGAAAAAAATCTTGGCGAAGGGAAAGAAAAATCTGTTTGTAGCCAAATGTTTGGAAGTTCTCCCTATTTGCCTGCTTCAGGGAAGAGTTGCTTGTTGACAGATGAAACAGATGAAAACAAATGAACATCTGATACTCAGTTTAAAATGTAGTGCAGGTGAATTTGGCCACTTCCTTCATTCTTCCTTAATGCTTCCAGGAGCTGCATCACCCATTAGTGCATGTGAATAGCAACTACTGTTATTGCTGGCTCAGCCTCATATGCCTAATTGCTGATGTGGTTTGCATCCTGAATCCTACCACATATACTCTCACAGCTCTGTAAATGCCTGGTCTTTTACTGTGACAAACAATTCTTAATCCTTTACACCCAAGCTAGACCCTTAAATTAGAAGCATAAGAAAAAAAAATCTGTATTTACTCTGGAACTGTTAAACATGGTAACTCCACCCATCAACAAATTTTGGCAAGGTTTTTACATGCTGTTAGCTAACTCAACACATTTGACGTTTTTTTCTTTGACAAAATGGTATTTGTACTTAGAATCCAAGTGACTGTACTAACATGCCAGTGTTTAACTGTTGGCATTTCACACTGCTTTAAGCTACTGCTGATGAAACAGTTAAGTACATGTATATCTCAGTTGTCACTTTCAAAATAGAGATTCTTTCACATTGTTTATTCAAACATCACTGCATTAGAGGGATCAGCTTCCCTTAAGACTTTTCCCTCAGTCTTCACCGCTTCTGAATCTAACAGCATGTCAGCCCAAAACAACACATGATGTACCTGTTAAAATTATGCAGTGTTTATTTTCTACTGCTGTGAGAAACTGCTCATATGTGTACTACTGGATTATATACATATATTTTAAAAACATAACGAAGCTTTAGATCTTCAGGCAGGTAACGCTTCTCAGCTTTCCACCTAATGCAGACAGCTAGCAGACTTGAATACGCATTGCAGAACAGCATTGACTGCTTTTAACGTTGGCTGTATGGATCAGAAGCTACTGAGCTACGAAATTTATCAGGCTTCAGCAGCATCCTCGCTGTTACATGACAAAATACTTACTACCACCAGGAGGGTCAGCTAAAAGACCTATGCAGCTATAAAACTTAAAAAGAGACTTAAAAGACAACCACTATTTCCTTGGTGGAAATAACCCATTGTCTTCCAGAGCCATAGGAAAGATCTTCTGATCAGTTTGTGTTTTTTCCTCCCCTCCCAACAGGCCAGGACTGTTGGCTACGATTCTTACACAGCTCATGTAATTTCCCTCCACCTTCATTTATGCGCTCCCTCCAATCTGCTTACCAGCTCCTGCTTAGTAAGCTAAATGTATATTTAGGTTTTGTGTCATCACAGTAGTCCTTCTTAGCCCCTTGGAATTGTAGCAAGAGAGTCTCTTGCTTAGTGCTTTAAATTCAGGCAAAGCTGTTTTCTAAACTTAATGCAAAATTTCAGAAGTCATCAGCTCAAAAATGCTACTCTGAAAATAATTTTTAAAAAGCGACTTGCAAGTAGGGGGAGTATATACACAAAAGTACTTTGCATTTCCCATTGGGAGTATCCAGTAGGAAACCAAGAGTCTCAGAAAAATCTGATATGTAGATATTCAGGTAAATGCCACAGTTCATTATGGAAAAAAAAAAGATCAAAAATATCAACAGCTAGTTGTAACAGAAGTTTGGGAAATGTGTAAATTATAACATATTGTGATACATCTCCAATCTCTGTGTTAGAAGGCATTCAAATGTAGTATTTGAACAAATATATAAACTTATCTGAAGTCTGTAACTCATTGTCTTTGATCCACTTCATTTTTTTCATTGAACACTATCTGATTTTTTCCCTTTGACATATTTTTCAAATATTAAATATACACTGTCATTAATGATACTATATTTCTAGTATCTAGTTTCTAGTATCTATATTTGGCTACACTCAAAGTCAGTATAGCACCAATGTTTCAGCAGCCAATTATTTTTCCATATTTAAATAGACCAACATTTACACCTGTAGCATTTTCATCTGGAAATATGCTGTTACAAAGTATTTATTATATGCTATGATCAATCCCAAACAGAGAATAGGTTGAAATGACAAAGAAAAGTAATTTTCTCTGCAACCTTTTATACCAGTGTCAACATATGCCTTTTTTTTTTTTTTGCATAATAAATCAATTTTAAATTTATCCTATATTCACTTCAGGTTCCTTTTACAGATATAAAATAAAAACTTTAGCCACAACCATTAGTTTCAATTGAATTTTGCCAACTAGCTCATCAGGTTGAAACATTTAATAAGGGTTTCTAAGAGATAAACACAGTATTATGGATATAGCAGGACTGAATGATTTGTTTATAGCTTCCTCAGAGTTAGAATTCTGTATTTTATTCCACTTTCTAGACCAAATTCTGTTTTCATATCATGTATGTATAATTAACTTGAGTATAGTCCATTTGACCCAATTAATTGTTTTCAAAGGCTTTCAGAGAAAAAAAATGTTGAGTCTGAGAAATCATATTTAAGTTACCCTAAGCAGGAGAAAAAACACAGGAGTAATGATTTCTTATATCCCTGGTAGTGGCTGGCAACAGTCCCAGCTGCTGTGGTGCTGCTCTGTAAACAGCACCTGCAGGCCTAATAAAAGCTCTCCCCCCAAATTACTCCAATATGAGCATGGCCAAAGTTGCTTTTTTTTCTTCAAGTGGTTTCTTTCTTGCCAAATGGAAGGTCTTCTAGCCTAGGAAAATATCGGCCATTTTAGTGCCCAATTTTAGACTATTTTGTGAAGGAACACCAAACATGATGTTCAGAACATGATGAAACAGCTCCCTGTGTTAGGAGTGAACTTGCTTAAAGTGATGTTAACTAAGGGAATGAAGGTAAGCACAATGACCATTCAAATCCAATTAATTTTGTATTTACAGCCACTGAGCCTCTTGTATACTAACAGCTCTTTATTACAAAGAAACCTAAATAGGCTCTTTCAGAAGAGTCTCTTACTGATCTCCACTCACAGGTCTCCAGCAGTTTAGGAAAGATAAATTTGAATTTAAGAAGTCCAGAAAAGAATACATCTATTACCTCTGATGGCAGCACAGACAGCAAATACTGAATGATAAATAGGAGTTCCCTTAGCAGCACTTGGCTGGCCATACACTATGGACACACTGATAGAGAAAAATAAGTACAACAACATTGAGACAGAGGTAACCACCTCCTGTAAAGTCTGCAATACAGTAGCAGTTATCCTTAGGAAAGGAATGAGAGTTTTCTTCAGACAAAGGGACAATTTAACAACAAAAAGGCATTACAAGAAGTGGACTTCGGAGATGGCCTTTAACAGAGACCTCCAGTTCTGAAGCAAATTAAATGTACATAGGAAGAAATGGTCTCTATGCCACTGTAGTGATCAAGGTCATACTTCAGGTTAAGCTTATCCTTTCTGATAACACCAATATATATTCTACTTAAATTAATAAAACAAAGTTAAAGTATTTCAGAACAGAACAGAAACTTGTAAGAAAATCTGGGGGGAAGGAAAATGAAGGATAAAAACACCAAAACCTTACTCATGACTGAAGAAAGTCCAAAGAATGTATTACCTCTTCCTTCACTGGTAGAGAAAACAGTACAAAACCGCACAGGTGAAACACGAAGACCTTAGACTTCTGCTCCTAAATACACTACACTGCCATCACTAGCAGCTTGGGATAACCACTCCTTCCACTTCAATAAACACTATTTGTAAAAACACATATTGCTGCTATGAATAACTGTTACTGTAATTAGGTCAGATGGAAAGGCAGAAAAATGTTTTCAAATTTTGGAAAAAAAGAAGGCTCAAGAAGAATATTATTTTTTAAAGCACAGATTCCAGATCTGAATAAAGTCTGCCACATTTGCCAGAGGATGAAAATGACCACAAACCAAGACTTCCAGAGCCTTACGCTGTGGCAGGAAGTCCCTGAGTACCACACAGAGAATATTGGCAGTATTGAAAGACCAAGTATTAATTTACATAACCTACAAAACATCTGAATAGCAAGCAAGCTTCACAAGCTCTGAACTAAGCAGTAACTTATCAAAGGTGTTCTAGAAGTAAATTGTACATGGTCACTATGCAGGAAGCCAACACTGAAGTGAGGTTTCAATAAGCAGCAGTAGTATCAACTGCTTTATTTGTTCTTTTGTATGGACATTTTGATAACTTTAAATGTTCACAGAACCAAAACAAGCTACCCTCCAGGGTATCCAGAAAAAAAAATAAAAAGATATAAAGCTCAAAAGCTGTTTTCAGAGCTCAACACAGATCTATCTATGCACACCATTAAAACAGCCAGTACATTCACAAGCATTTTCTGGCAGGAATCAAAACAGGACTGCGGCTTTGTTCATTTCCATACCAATGCCTAGTATGGTTTAAGCTGACAGCTGTGCTATGTCTGTGTGTTAGTGGCCATTCAAATCAGCAGATTGGAAGGTTTACTACCTCTAGAAAGGCCTTCAGAGTTTGCTGTGTTGTAGAACACAAATGTGTCCCCAAAGGCAGGCGACAGACTTATTAACACTTTCAAGGAAATTTTCTAAACACTACTCGACTGCATTTATACTTTATGAAAAAAGGGATTAGCTTCTCCACATTCTGCTACTTGAAGGCTGAAAGAAAAGCGCTGGGAAGATTATCTATATTGCCCCTTAAGGATTTTACACACATTTTTCTTCATTTGTGACATCTCAGAAAAATAAGAAATGAACAGAAAATTACCACTAACTTATAGGACGTGACAATACTTATTCTGAAGTAGTGTTTTACACTTCAACCTAATTATTTAGCAAGCTGCATATAAGAAGTTCACTAAAAGGGAAGTTCAAATTTAGAAAATACTGCGTTTAAAAAGAAAAAAACACTTCAACATGCCAAGACTAAAGAAAATACGAGTCCAAAAGAGACAAAGTGCAACCCATGCAATATTTTTCTTCTGCTTTTAATTTAACTCAAACTTAGCATAACCTCCTCTTGGTGATGTAGTAATGCAGACTGAGTCACTTGTCATGGTATGGAGGAGCAGAAAGCAATGACAGCAGCAAAGGCAGGCCTTGCAGTCTATCTGCTTAAAATTCACACCCTTTCACCTTGCGTGTGTGTGGAAGAAGTAAGTGGAACAGAAAATCACTTCCACCTGGACCACTGCTTCTCTTTATCTGTTAAAGGCACATATATCACTCCCATCAGAGGCTTCATTTTGACACTGCCATCTTCTAGTTTGTCATACTGTTCAAGCATCTGGTTTCCCCCTGCAGGACCAACTGGTAATATCAATCTTCCGCCAGGTTTTAACTGATCTATAAGCTGGAAGACAACACAGAAGTTAGAGTGTAACCATCCGCTTCAGAGAAACTGCATCTAAAGTTTGTTACGTTACATGAACAGCTTTGCCGTGTTTTATCTATGTATTATGCAGTAGATAATTACTTCAATTAAGAAAAATAAAATACACACAAAGTGAGAGTACCACAACAAGAGAGTATAACAATTAGTATTACAGAAAAATTCACAATAATTTAATGTACTGCCAAAAGAAGGTAAAATAGCAGTTAGATTAACTGGGTTGGTTGCACTTTTAATTTCTACACAAGAAGAGAAAAATACCAAAGTCATGAATTACTTTTATAGTAAATTCTTTTTAAGTTGCCACTTCGAATGGTGTAACACTTACTGTTGATCTGTACATGCCCACTGTTTAACATTTTGGGGGGTACCTGATCTCCCCTGGAAGACTCAGGATACCATTTGAGATTTGCGACATTTTAATTATTTATCTTTCTTGAATAATTTCAAGTTGTCTACAAAACATCTTGACAACAACAACAGCTCTTCTTTCACTCTGTGAACACAGTATTTCATGAAACTAGTCTGAAATATAACGTGAGTAAGGTAAGTGACAAGAAGCCACACTTCTTTTTTTTGGCTTCTATAATTAAAGAAGGTGGTTAGTTATAGCTTCTCAGTAGTTCCCTGAAGCTGTGAAAAAATCCTAACCCTCCATGTTTAAAAGTTAGAAAAAAAAAATAAGAAAGTAAGCTTTACATTATTGCTATCTGACAACACTTTGCTGGGAACAACTCCCCACACAAGTAAACAAAAAAAAAACAAACAGCCAATGCCTGGAGATATCTAACCTGTCTATAATACCTCAAACCTCTAGTCCTTCACTACCCTTATTAAAATTCAGATTTAAAAAATTTAACTGGTATTTAGCATGCCAAGATCATGCCATATAAGATAATGTTTAAATATGTCTTTTCCCATTCACCTGGTGAAAAGAGAAAAAACCTTATCTGCAAGAAAGGTAATTTACTTCATGCATACATACTCTAGAGTCCCTAGTTTCTCTTCAGTCTTTCTAGCAACAACTGCACTGCGTTCACTCTGAGAGCTATGAAAATATAGCATTCTCTGTTATTCCAGCTGAGCACTTTTTTTTTTTTTTGCAATTCAATGTTCAATAGAAGCAAATTGATTTACTCAGGAGAATACTCCAGCTCACAGTGGTAATACAAGCTGTACCCAAGTCATTTTAAAGTATGTTTTCAGAAAAGTCATTAGAACACGCAACTTTTGCAGATGAACAGGAAGTCCAATACAGCAGAAACAAAAAGCCACACCCTACACTAATGCCACCCTGCCCACTGACACTCCCAGCAGTGCAAGTGGGCAAAGTACCTGACATGTACGTGTATAAAAATGTTCTTTACAGCTAAGAGATTACTGAATCACACACACAAAACATAAATGGCTTACTGCTTGGGGCACAACTGGTGCTGCAGCTCCTACGTGAATTGCATCATAGGGAGCTTCTTCTGCATATCCCATTCTTCCATCTCCCACTGAAAAAAAAAAAAACTTTTTAAAAAGATAACCTATCATAAATGAAAGGCTACACTCAGATATCAACTAAAATGTTGTTGAGCCTTAGTAACATGTTAGAGTTAGTTTAAAAATATGAATTCAATTATAAAATAGATGCAAAAAAATATACACACGCACACACTTATAAAATACATAAAATATATCAGAAATATTACCTGAAATCAGAAAACCTAGATTTATAATGAAAGTTGTCTGAGACACATGGTCCACCCAGAAGAGGTAACTAAGCATTTATGTGCCCTAGCAGGTGAATTCCACCCATTCACCCTCCTAAAAAAACTATTATTTGCCTTGCCTTCACTCACATCCTTCCTAAATATAATGCAAATCATAGCTCTATGGCATTAAATCTCAGAAGTACATATCAGAACACTCCAAAGGGGTGAGGAGGAGAGGACACAGCAAGCATTCACAGACTGTACACTTAAAGCTGCACTGCAAGTTGGAATGAAGCCCACACTTCATTACCCTGATTTAGTATCAGCTGGTATTTGAAGATGACAGAAGCTTGCAGCAACAAGAAGCAGAGAAAGGTGCATAGCTGCATTCTGCCTTAATATTAAAACCCTGTTCTCTACCCGTAAGTCCCACGTAAATGGAAGAAGTAAAGTTAATGTGAGAGCTACTCATAATCTATGTTTTGAAATGGAAAAAGGTAATAAATACTGGGTTGAGTCTGAAAGATGGCAGAGACCTTGGACTTCTCACTGGATAGTCTTAAAGGTAAAACCATTGAGATTACGCTATCAAGGATTTATGCAGGTCAAGACACCAGGGTCAGTAGAAAGGCAATCACACTGGCTGTTCTGACAAATGGAACTAAGAACAAAACAACTACAAAAACATAACTTTTTGATTGATGGCAAAAAGTGGGCAAGACAAAAATAATTTATTTCATTCAGCAGGTACTGAGCGCCACAAAACCACTTCCCGAAAAGCGACCCAGGTTTTCTAGTCACAATCTGGGAAGGGCAAGACAACAACATAGCCATCAACACAGAGGGTGAACGGGACACGCATCACAGATGAAGCTGTTTTCAGTGCTAAAACCTTAAACACGTAGGACTACTTTCAACAAGGGCTAAAGGAGTCATTCTCAACCTCTTCATTAGTCTATAAACCAAATACACAAACGGGGAAGCTTTTTCACCTTATTTCAACTGCTTCAGCTGCCAACCCAATCAATCGAATGCAAAGATATTCTGGATGTGGAAACAGCAATTCTGAAGGTTGAGACATACAGACTTTTAAGATTGTCTAGGTTAGATTTGCACCTGAACTCAAACTGAAAAACTAAAGGCACTGTTCAAAGTCCAGCGACCTCTCTTTCGGTCACATAAGTACCTGCCACAAAAATATAAAGCAAAAAACTAATAATCTGCTCATGTGCTGCATGTCCTAATTCTCACAGTGCGCCTATTGCTTTTATTAGCATGTCCTCAGAAAAGGCCGACAGGAGGAAAGAGACTGAGAGGCCTATTATGGGGTAGGCGAAATATTAAACTCAATGGAGCAAAACTAATCGTGCCATTCAAGACTCAAATAACTGAAGTATCAGTACTGACGGTTACTCATGCGTGAGATACATATTAGGACCTACAGAAAGTAGCCAGTCTCACATTCAGCACTCCCAGAAAAGCAGAATGGAGATTACACAAGTAAAAAAAAAAAAAATCCAGAACCCTGAGGTGTCCAAAGCAATTGCAACCTCTGGCTGCTCTTACGGAAATCTGCTTGTCAAATACAAGACAGATAGAATCAGGAAAAAAAAAGTCACCTTGATTCTGCATCTGCAAACTTCTAACTGCAGAAACTGTAGGTTCCTTTGAAATACAGCCAAAAATATTCCAAAGATCTTAGTTTTGGTAACTTGGAATAAAACTGTGTATGGGGTTTATGTGGCAAGGTTATGTAGCAGATGTTGGGAGGGGAAAGGTGTTATAGTTTTTGTTTCTCGTTGCCCTACCTTATTTTTAATTAGCAATAAATTAATTTTCCCCAAATAGTTTGCCTTGCCTATGACAGTAACTGATAAGTGATCTTTGTCTTTATCTTACCCCATGAGATTTTCATCTTTGTTTCCCCGTTCCATTGAGAATGGGGAATGAAAGAGAGGCTGTGTGGGCATCTGCCAGACAGCAACGGTGAACCCACCACAATCTGACACCCCAAACTATCAAACTATCACAGAATGCAGAGGAAAATAAAGTTTAATATTAACGCCCTCAACCACTGAAGTATGTTACAAGAGAGACTAGACCCTGAGTTAAGTTTTGAAAGATGGTGATTGCGAATATATCCACAGGATTTATACCAAACCAACAGGAAGCTCAGGACAAGTTAGGCTTTACACAAAGCTCTACTTAGAGTTCTCTAGGAGCAAAAGATGTGCATGACATTAAGCCATCTATAAATTCATGTTCAGTGAGTGCAGAAGTCCCAGTTCCCAGTCAGGAAGAAAAAGCAAAGAGGGTAATGAAGATACACTTCTGCTCCACACACAGTTGTTTGGGGTTTGCTGTTTTTGGACTGAGCTTTGACTTCTAAAGGGCAGTTGTCATTACAGATTAACTAAAAGTCTGAACAAGTCAAGAGAAATCCTGCACTGCTGCCAGAAGCCGAAACTTTATCAAACTTTTTGCTTTCTATCAACTCACAAAGCAGAGAAAATACATGGTGTCCATGGCAGATTTAATTTTGACCTCAATGACAGGGAGGGCCACGCTGACAGTAACAAGATACTTAAGTATCCAAGAGTGTAAAAGAAGATCTGGGCAGATTTTTGAAACAGTTTAAATCACGGAGTTTGTTATCTTTCACAACAGACCTTGAAACAAGACCCAGCAAGGCCCTTCTTACAGTCCTTAAGCTGGATGTGGAAGAGAACATGTTTCCCCAGCAGGTGAGGAACCCCCTAAAGCACCTTCTTTCCTCACATCACAAAATTCTGCCCAGCACAAGCTCCTCCTCCACAGCTTGGAGGCTGCCAAGCAAGAACCATCAATGATTCAAAAGAACCCATGGCTACAGGGCACCAGCTCCACCAAGTCAATTTTTATTACTGTTGCCAGGAATGACGATGGAGCTTCCAGTAATTCCAGCCCCAAATCTCTCTGCCCCTGCCAAAGTGGGTTCCACTGGAACATCCACCTTAGTGCAGTCAAGTGTATCATTTATAGTCACTTATATATTAGTCACGCAGTATGCCTCCTCTAAAGAGTGAGCAGTGAGCAATGTGTTACCCTATTCCTTCTGGCTATGTCAGCATCAGAGAACAGTGCAGCACAATAGGAGCAGAGCTGTACAACGGATGCACTGTTGTACAGATAAGTACAACATATGCCTGTGCAACATATGCATTTCAGGATGATTGCTGGTCTAGCTCTAGTCTTACTGGCTTAATACCCATCAACATTTCAAACTTACTTGGTGGCTTCTCAGAGCCCATAACACAGCCTAGTTTCATCCAAATGGAATCAAAGTTTGTACTCTCTAGGAACACGCTCATGGGAACCCAAGAGTGGCAAGTGCAAACATTTGAGAGATTCACCTCACAACCCTCTCAATCCAAAACAAAAACCAATCCACACTCCACAAACTAACATGGCCTAAGGATACCTATTGCCCAGTTCTGGGTGCAGTTGTGTTGCTTAGAAATTGGGGGGGAAAAAAAACCTGATGCTCCTGAAATGAAATTGTGGCGTATCCAAAGTCTAACAAAGGAAAGAAGAATAAGCCTTCTGAGAAAGCATCAAGCCTCCCTGTCAAAAGCCAGCAACTAACTGGCTTAGTCTTAATCTATACAGTTCTCACCACCAAACAGTCCTGGGTTTTCAAGGGTTTTGTTTGTTTGAAACAGCTCTGTCTGAATTCTAACTCCACTTCAAAGAGCTCCCAGGAATCCAGCACAGTTGAAACATTATTCTACTCCATCTGGTTCACAGAGCTGCTACTCCTCCCCCTGTATTTTTTTTTACATGTACCTCACAACAAAACTATTCAGAAGTCTTAGTCATCCTGCTACAGTCAAACACAATATAGATGATGACATTTGCTTAGAATACTAGACTACCAAGAGCAACAGAGTTTGTTTCAGGTATAACCAGAAGTGGAAAATGCTCCTGTACAGTATCAACAGAATTCATCCTCCCTCAACCCCCAGCAGTCTCAGTTACGACTTCTTTTTCAAGAAATTTAAGGCACAAGTGTTCTTGGTGACAATCACTGTATCTTATACATTTCTATAAGTACACGTGTTGATCTGCTTATTTCTAAAGACGTATAAAGTCTCTCCTTTAGGAAAAAAAGACCAAGAACCAGAAAGGGAGTAACTAAGGTAAGAGCTGTTTATTACAAACCATAATAGTATTTTCAAGTGCATTTGTAAGAACAGCCCCAAAATAACCCAGACCTTCAACTTCTTTTTAAACTTAACCAAAAGAATGATAATGAAAGGAATGCTTTCCTCCTGCCAGCCCAGCTCTGCATCTTCTGAAAAAAAAAAAAGCCATCTTTTTTTTTTCCTTTTGTCATAGAAGTAATATTTACAATTCACTGTATAATTTTAGCATTATTTCCTCCCAGTAATGCTGATTTAAACTAGTTTGGTATCAATTAATCAATTGCCAAAATAGAAATAGTATCAATTTTAAAAACAATTGAAAAACTGCAGAGATGCATACTGCCAATTACTATTTTTTTTTCCCACTTGACTCTTTGAGCAATGCTTTCTCAGTTACTATATCAGAAGTATGAAGGCATTGTTAAAGCGTTCAAATTTAGATGACAATACATTTACTCAAGAAACATTGTGCATTGAAGCCTAATTTTAAAAAGCAAACTTAACACGACAGAGCTTCAGCATGAGAAGTATTTTCACCAGGAAACACTTCCATGTTAAGCTTCCATAATAGGAACGAGTACATATTCTTTAAGATTATCAGAAGCCATATTCTCAAAAGTGTGCAAAGATTTAAAAAAAAATAATTTCAAATGCTGAAGGAAGATTTGAATTTTTAGATTTTCAATTGGCTCTTCCTTCCTTTGTTAATTGACTCTTTCTTTAACTTCTTATATCAGATTTTTTACTCACATCCAAATTCCAGTCATTTTCAAACAGCTGCTAGAAAGAATATCAGTTTAATGAATAAGTATATCAGAGTCTGATGCTCACCAATCAGTTTCACTCTTCCTGAAGACAGCAATGTGGGATCGTCTTTTTTGACATTATTTATTGAGTCATCTACTAGTTCTTTGATATGATCAATTCCTACAACTTGTCCTTTGGGACCAACCTGGAATAAAAATATACAGTTGAATAATTTCTGCTAGCTTTGCTTTATTTATAGAATCAGTATTTCCATCTCCTGAGCCCATTTCTCTAAAATAAAACAAAAGCAGAGAACTGGTAGTGTATCTTCCCAATGTAAATACAACTAGTGCTTAGAATTACACATTCTGACTGCTAGAAGCAACCAGCAATTAAAGTTTGGCAGTACAGATTTACAAATGTTTGTTATAGTCATCTTTTTTAAGAAGTGATTCAGTTAAGTTATACTATTAGTGGAGACTTCTTGCTCTGAATTTTTTAAAATTAAGTCCTATCATGAGTGTTTGTATTACCTCCAATAGGAAGCAAAAACTTCAAGGACAAACACTAGAACCAATCACCTTTCATTCTGAATAAACTTAAAGATTAAACTTTTGTTTTTCTTTTTAAGATAAGCCCTTACTTCAAAGAAAATAGTTAAGTCATGCGTTTTGTTCTAAGATATGTCAAGATATTCTTTCAGAAGTATATACTATAGTTAACAGTCAGCAACAAAATACCTTCCACCTCTCTCTCATATCAATGAATCTTTCAGATTCACAGCTCTCTTCTGCAGGAAGAACAGAACTTTTGAGAACTCATAACTCAAAAAAGGTCACAAAAGATTTGTGTATCTTGATGGGAAAAGACCTACAAAACTGAATGTACTTTTACAGGCTATCACACTAACAGGAACTTCTCAATAATAGATATTTCTTCTGGACTTGTCTCTTTATTCCAGAGGGAAAAAAAAAATAAAATAAAATCCAGTTTTGGAGAGAGAAGAAAAAAGAACCTAGATGTTAAAATCTGACCATCTTTAGCAGGATTCACTTCAAAGAACAAAATAGTAAATGTCCTGGCAGTCCATGCTATCATATAACTCTGTCCTTTAATGGCTACATCTGAATGCGTCAGTTATATTTCCGTATCTTACATTTTAATCTTGCTAAGACACGAAAAGTTAGTAACTGGTTATTGGTGTGATGGGGACTTTCTTCTGTTTCATTATAGACGAGCCCTATGTTAAAAACATAGAAAAAGCAGTACTACACTCTCCCCTCCCCAATGGAACAAGACTGGCCTATCTTTTGAAACAGAGCAAGACACAGGGCAAATTTTCACAACCACAGATTTGCAGGAATATCTGCCAGTCTGGCAAAAGATCCAGTGCACTCCCTTCAGTAAAGTGCATTATCACAGAAATCAAAATTCAGCAAAATGACCAACAGCTTGAAGTAGCCTGATTTAAAATAACAGCATGTCCAGCAGCACATCACAGTTTATGCTCTTTCTGAATCCTCACTGATCTAGAATTACCCCTGTACATTGCCCTAGAACTTAAAAGTGTACGTCATCAAGGCAATAGCAAAGTAGCATAACTGTCGGGGTCTCCATGGTGTGTTTGGAATAGAAATATACCCCACTCTCTTTATAGCTCCAGTACTTACAATTCGTTTAGTTTGCCATCAACCTTTAAAAGCGAATAATGTTACCTACGAAGCATATAAACTTTCGTGACAGCAGTTTATCACAAAGAACAACCATGCTAGTGTAAGCAAACAAGGCCTTCCCAGAAGTACCACAAATGAGATTATCATCAGAGGAGTAAAGCTGCCACGACATCAATGTGCAGTCAAATACTTGTGCTACAAATGCCTGATGATCATTCTAGATCTCAAATAGACTGAGAACATGTTCAGTAAGCACAGCCCCAGTTGAATTTTGATAGCAAAGGACTAACAAAAGTTTGAGAAAGGACATTTTCTGGAATGATGGTACTGTTGGAAAGATCTTTACAGAGGAAGAAAGCTGAGTCAGTGCAGCATATACACTGTCTTATCCTCATTCGAGTGGATGCCGCAAGATCTGCATTACACAGTAATCATACTACCAAAGAGAACAAAAGCATTTATCTACCACGTTCCAGCAAATGTGTCTGTAAAGCATTTGGTAGCATACCACCAAGGAGGAAAATTAGACAGGATTCAGAAGAGAAACTGGACGTTCATACGGTGATAAAAAGATAATGCCGTTAACCCTAGCAAAAATAGGAAGAGGTTTCCCTTTTGTGATAATTCTGACTTCTCTGCAGATTTTCAACTTCTCTTATATAATCTTAACAGAAAAAAAGCATACAACCACATGTCACACACCTTATCTAACATAGAAATTCTTCTATACATTCCTGACTTTAATGACATAACATGCAACTTTGACAAACATTTTGTCACTTGTTTATCATTCCATAGACTGGAGCTCCTGTGCACGCCACTAGCAATTGATCACTGACTACAAAGTTAGACCAAAAATAATAGGTAGAAAGTTCAAAAAGTAACTTTTAAGATTTACTCTGGACTGCAGTTTGGTGTACTTATTTCAACCTTTTTTTCTTTTAAATGGCAGTTGGTATTTTAAAATCCTGAAGATTTTGCTGGTGCATTGTCCAGTCAAAAACATTCTTAAATAAGTCTTAATGCACGAAATGCAGTCTCAACAAACCAATGCTTGAAAACAGTAAAATTTAAATAGTAAAGAGAACATAAAAGAATTTATCATATGTATCACCATATTCCAAATTAACTTTTCAGAAAAAAAAAAAAAGGCATCAAGCTGGCAGTTTAATGAAGATCTCTGCTAGTTATAAAGCAATGGTAAAGACCTGGAACAGAGAAGGAAGAACTGATTATATTCTACTACATAAATAAGTAGGAGAACGCTAGTTACAGCTATCACAGAACAATTTTGACCATCTTTATTTCCTTGATGTAGGATGGGGTGGAACCACAGCAAATTCCTTATGCACAAGCTGAACAACCCAAGATGAAGTTACTTGGAAAAGATGTAAAAGGAATATAAATTAATACTACCTTAGAAAAGATTAAATTGGTACTTGCAGTGATACTGCCACAATATAGTTACAGGAAAAAACGCAACTTCAAAGACTATTTATACACATACAACTAACTAACTTATGGAAATGGGATTCTTTTACGTCTCATTAAGCTCTCATCATAGCAGAAAAACAAGACAATTATCACAATGAGAACATTCACAGCCACACAATATAAGGTAAAAATTGCACTGGGCAAGACAAACATATCCTTCCTTCAAGTTATACAGCATCCATTAAAATGTAATCAAGAAAAGACTTCCATTGAGGCAGTTTTGTCACCACCAGATGATTTACTGGACCCAAGCACCTAGTATCAGCTATAATTAGAAATAGGTACTGGTCACACCCAGGAGAGTAGTTTATTTTCTGTGTAATCTACTTCTGCCCACTGTAAGAAGCCTGCATTTCTCTCCCCCCTCCTTAAAGCAGTTATGTTGTAATTCAAGCAGTTGTGATGGTTAAGTGATTAAACTAAATTTCTCACCATTCGTGAAAAGCATGCTGTAAGGATTCCACTTCCAGAACCTACGTCAAGTGCTTTGGCTCCTTCATGTAGCTGATCAGACAGAAGTTCAAGAGCATATGCGTGCTAAGGAAAGGAAAGAAGATGTCAAAATATTTTAAATGTAACTTCACCCTACACATGTTCATTTCTTCAGTGGTTCTGGACAATGCACAGAAAAATGTACAGAGCTTAAGAATCCTCAGAATTACTTTTTATTACCAAAAAAAGGCAGGAGAGAGTTAGCTACATAATTGCTGTTATTTCATTTACTTCAAGAAAGCATCTTTTTGTTTGTTATATATAGACACATGGTTATCCGACCATTCAGGCTTCTAGCTCGCACTCAATTTAGATACAGTTATTGGGAGAGACACCATAGATCAATTCAATTCTCTTCAAGTTTGAGGATTCTCACTGTTCTGGTGGATATGGGCTATAGAAAATTCAGCTTATCATTGTGCCATATACATTGGAATATGCTGGGACAGATGCTAGTTAGGAAGAAGGCAGCTTTGGAGGACCAAGGAGAAAGGCTATTGTAGTTAAACTACCTCTTGTATTACCTGCACACTTGTTGGATCAAAGAGTAAGAAAAAAATTGTGTATTAGAAAGGCAGAAAGACAAGAAGATTCATATATGAGAATGTAGTAATCTACAGAGACATCCTGAGCTGTTTTGCTTTCTTACGTAGCAGACCAGTACACAAACTAAGCTTACTTCACATGTTAAAAAAGCAATTTGTTATTGAGACTTGCTAGTTTAACCTCAGTCCCTGGAAAAGTTATGAAGAAGATTACCCTGGGAGACATTCAAAGCAGGTATCAGGCATAGTCAACATGGGTTTGGGAAGGGAAGATCCTGCCTCAGTAATTTAATTTCCTCCTATGAGAAGAAGGAAATCCACCCTATATCCACCCGACATGGTGGATGAAGGACATAATCTTCCTGGGTTTCAGTAAGGCTTTTGATATTATCCCTCACAGCATCCTTTGGGACAAATTATCCAACTGTGAGATAAACAGGATCACACTGTGCTGGGTGCTGAACTGGCTCTATGGTAGAGCTCAAAGGGTCGTAGTAAATGGGGCTACAAGTGGCAGGCAGCCGGTTTCCAGCAGTGTTCCCCAGTGTTGTTCTAGGGCCAGTCCTGTTCAACATTTCTGTCAGTGATCTGGATGCAGGAGTGGAGTGCATCCTCAGCAACTCTGCTGAATGGGGAGGTGCTGTTGATCCCCTGGAGGGATGAGAGGTCTTGCAACTTATTTTCCTCACTTTGACACAGTATTTCTCTCTTTATATCCTTGAATACAATTGTTAACATTTCTACAAGAAACACTGAGTTTTTAATATTGATGAGTAGGAACATTCTAGCCCAGCTTGGTAGTTTTCAGTCAAGGGGAGCAAGCTTTTATTAACACTTTTAAACCATTCTTTACTCCATACGTTTTGATACTGGCCAAACATTTCAACAAAATATATCCTTCTATTAATTCTTCTCAAACTGAAGAATTACATCTGTGCTGCATTTATGTACTGAAGTCCCCTCTTAATGCTCAGCCATGACTGCCCTGGTCTCCAGTTACTTGGGAAAAAAAAAAAAAAAAAGACATCTCAGTCAACGGTATATTTTCTCATGCCCAAAGAATTAAAGGCCTTACTGCAACACCACACCACAGAAGTCACTGTTATCCACTTCTGAATTTTTGTTGTTCTTTAAGTTACACAGTCAGAGTAATTTAGGTTGGAAAAGATCTCTGGCAATCCTGCAGTCCAACACTCAATTCAATGTTGAGTTAAATTAGGCTGCCCAGGGCCCTGTCCGCTCAGGTCCTTTGTATATCTAAGAACAGAATTTCCACAATCTGGGAAACCTGTTCCAGCGCTTGATTACCCTAAACATGAATTTTCCCCTGGAATCTAATCAGAACTTCTCATGTTGCATTTTTCATCCACTACCCCTCATGTCTCTGTGTACCTCCGAGGAAAGTCTGGCTCTATCTTCTCTGCGCCCTCCCATCGGGTAGTTCACAAGCACATCACTGCGATCAACTGCTGGTTAAATTTGTTAGGAGAAGTATTTTACTTCAGGAGCATTTGGATCTTTATGAAATCATCTACACTAGTCACGTAAGTTTAAAGCTTACCATATGTGGAGCACTGATTGTTGCTTGGAAACCTGCAAGACAAGAAAGTGGAAGAATTGATAATTGTTCAGACAGCAATCTCACTATCTTTACAGATCTCAACTGTGAAATGGCTGCATAAGTACTTAACTCACTTCTGAAGTAGAGAACATCATCTGTAAGCTATGCCTTGTTGATTCTGGACAGGAAAATAAAAAGGGTTCTACACTTATCTCAGTTACAATCTCCACTTTGCCACTATAACTCCTTGATTTCATCTAGTAAGTTGGATTCAACAGACTTATGCTTCCCAGAATGAATTTTTTCTCCCCCCCCTTGCTCTTGGACCCTATATAAACCCTGTATAAAAACCAGGATTTGTTAGTGCGAGTTTGATGTGGCGGGGACCATAAAACCCCTGGAGACAATATTTCATCTGTTTTTCAGACAGCATACATACACCTCAGAAAAAACATGGAGGAACACTCACCTGTATTTATTTCTGTGCAGATATATAATTTTTGAGTGTGTATCTTAAAAGATTTTTTTTAAAGTTTCCTACAAAAATAATAAAATCCCATTACAATTCATAATGCTCACTACCCACTACTAAAGGGGAATGGGGGAAAAAAAAGGAAATTGGTATATTCATTTAATTCATCCTTCTGCCTTGCAACAGTAAAACCAGGAACTGAATGGAAAATAAGTGTCCTAAACAACTGTCCTATCAGATCTTCCCATTTAAAGCTATTTACCTGAGATATTTTTCTATGAAAAAAGTCTGAGAAACACTACAACAATCTCAGCCGAGCCATTTCTATAAAGAAAGACTGTTTCTGAAGTATGTTGGGTATGTGATTTAGTTTTCCTTTTCAATATTTAAACATCAGCTGCACCTCCACAAATTGCTGTGGTTTAAAAAATGCATTCATACCTACACATTAATAACGAAGAGCAATATACTTGATGTATCCAAGTATGCCAATTGCATTCCAGAACAAACTGAAAATGTTGTAGTTAAAAGCTATTGAATGAACTGATAAAGAACTAAATTGCTTCCAAATATTAACAAAAATCCACATATATATCTGCCAAAGGCAGTCACTATTACACAAATTAGAACAATCATTTTTACAAAATGCTCTTACCTATAGACTGAGGAGAATCCATATATGGGTTGTATTTTGCATAATGGCAACGGTCTGTAGCCAGCATTACTTCAAATACCTTGTCTGATTTAATTATCCCATTTTCTATAAATAAAACAAATAAAATTGAAGGCATTGTTTCTCTTCTGCAGTCAAGACAACGTGAAATACATGAACATATTCCTAACACTGTGAGAGATCACGCTACCTCATAGGTCCCATCAATTAAGCTATGATCAAATGCTGCTTAAGACAGTGAACGTGAAGCAAGACTCTCCCAGCAGTTACAGATGCTTTTCTGAAGCAACAGAGATCCTTTGCAAAGATGTATCCCCTAGAAAAGCTCAACTTCATGCATACTTTTGATATTCCTGAAAGTGTACTTAGTAAGAAAATTATAGCACACTCTATAAAACTAACACGATATACTTCGCATTTTTAGTGTAAGTAATTAATTATGGAAAAATCTACAAAAGCAGGTTAGAAACTCGAAGCCACGGCTTCCTTGCTTGATATTTTATTTTCAAGTTCCATTTCTCTTTTGTGATAGCAAAAGGAAAAAAGTCCCTTTGTGAAGGAACACCCTACAGAATCAGAATTCTTATGCAGGGGCAGACCAAAGCCAAGGAGTTTTCACACCAAAACACTCTGAACCTTTGTTCATTCTTCAAAAGGAAAGGGAAACAAAATGTCAGAAGCACTATGCAGTACAGTATTTTTTCTGTTAGTTTTATAGATTTTCTTTTTTAACATTTCTAGTTTTTGAAGCTCTGAAGAGACATTTGCAAGTAAAAGAAATGGTTAGAAAACAAATGGAAGAAACTAATCACTTGCATTGAAAAATTCAGGATAAACTCAAAATAATAGAAAATGCAAAAATGTAATGCTTTACTAACTAGCTAGTAACTTTAACCAAGGGGATTTATTTGGAAAGTTAAAAGAAAAAGATAACTTTAACACTTTCAAAATCTAAACCCAAATGGAGTAAATCAGATGAGGGAGTTCTGACATTGTCTTAATTGAAGTTGCATCTTTTTTTTAAAGCCCCACCAGCAGGAAATCCCCTGTGACCAGGCCTCAGCTAACTTCTGCAGTGGTGTCCTGACTGCTTACAGTGTGCTCCCACAAACTACTCTCAGCAATCACAGTTGTGTTGGATTTTTGTCAATGTTCTCCCCCCCGCAGCCCAATCCACTGCCTGTATCCAGGGTTTCATGACCCTATATAATAGAGGTTTTGATTCAGAGAGCAAGTCACCACTACCACCACCCCCCAAAAAATAAATAAATTTTGCTTTTTGTTCTGAATGCAAAGTACCAACTAAAACTGCAACAGCAATATACAACCAAATTATTAAGGAAAACAGCAATGCTTTATAAATGTTTTTTTTTTTTAAAAAGAATGATTTCTATATCTGGTAAGCCTCAGAAAAAGCACATGCTCCCCTCACAGATTACACACATTACACATTTCTCGTGCTGTGACTTCATTCATAACTGTCTAGTACAGTCTCAGTTAGAAGGAACTCCTCATTTCAGTTCATGTTTTTTCATCTGAGACACAGCAAGCATTTGCAGCAGTTCCTAAGTTGACATACTGAGCAAAACAGTACCCCAAAACCAAATAAAAATCAAAAAAATCAACCAATTAACACAGTGGCATTGACAATGTAAAATAGTATAAGAAAAAGCCCTAGCCACACTGAATTAGTTACAGATCAGTTCAGGAAATTAAGCATAAGAAAAAAAAATCCCAATTTTACTGTTAGCTTCTCATTAGGTATCATCAAAAACTGATTTATCTAAAATAATTGTACCTAAAAAAGAAAAGAGGGACGGGAGAATAAACTAAGCTGATTATGGCAGAAGTGAAAAGAAAATTTCTGGGAACTAAGAGGGACAAAAGCAAGCAGCTGAGAAGCAGTCAAGAAAAATCCAAAGTTGCAGTTTATTCCTTTACTGCCGTATTGTTACCTATGCATCTATCTACACCATCTGCTCCTTCCTTTTGTGCCTTGGGGAAACGAACACAAGGAGAACAAACAGATCAAGCTTGAAAGAGCAACCACTGAATGGCCCAAGCAAGGCTCTATGGTCAGGCAGACAGCCTCCCCTAGTTTTCAGGGGACTGTCTCTATACTACCATGACTGCAGGTTTCTTCCACACCTCTCCTTTCACTCTACCCAATGATCTGTTCTTTTTTTTTTTTTTTAAAAAAAAAAAAGAAAAAAAATGGTCCTCCATGTCTGCCACTTCTCTGATCTATTCCTGTCATCTTTCTACTTAGTGATACTCTAAGTAGAATTCCTGGCATTTACCAATTTTCTTCTGCCACCATTACATTACTTCGTTTATATATTTTACCCATTTTTCCTCTCTAACTTAATTTCATTACAAGAGCTCTACGGATGTCTGCGCAAGACAAAACCTGAAATTTTATTTCAGCCAAAGTAAGCTTAATTTCACCAAGTGTGATGCTCCCACCAACATGCAAACAACCCAAAAACTTGGGAGTGGTAGTCACTAATATTCTACAAATCCCCAGTATTCAGGATGCAAATATTTCAAATATATGCAAGTATTTCAGCAACTATTCCTGAGATTTGCTGACTGTAGGACTGTATTTGATTAGTGCCATCTTTTTCATCGGTGAAGCAAGTTAACCAAACTTGGAGTCCCCAGTAGAACTGGGGAAGAGCTGGATCTCATGGCTCAACCACTTACTTCAACTGTTAAATAATACCCTCTTCATAAAAAATAAACCCTCTTAGCCACAAACGTGGAATTACACAGCATCATATTATCCCTCAAAGATAAATTCTGCTTTTTCCATTTTGTTTGGAGAACACTAGAATGCAAACAAACAAAACATGACCACGCTCTCAGAACACAACTGCTATTTGGTCCTAGGCAGAAAAAAAAAACAGAACAGTAAAATTTAGAAGGGAATTAAGAAAAGCAATCAAGACCTAAACAGTTTTTGTCCATGTTGATGACAAATATTTTTTCTTTGTCTCATGATTAAATATAGAGCAACACAGCAACTGGAAGGTACTGAACTCCAGCGAATGTCTTCTTGCTGCAGAAGTCAGTCCCTAGACAACCAACTGTGAGTATCTTACTTCCATCTGGAATGAACCTCTTCCAGATTCTGAATTGCCAAGAAAACACAAATACCCCCTAGAAAAGCCAATAAGAGAAGTTTATATTGCAAAGGCAACATTCTAATTTTGTGCTCTCTAAATGCCAAGACAGACAATCAGCAGTAAATTATTTATTAATAAAACACCAATGCAAGATGTTTTGTATATCTTAAAAGGAAGTTATATCTTAGAGGAAAATCATTCCCAATTGCGCAATATAAGTTGACTTTGTTTCCAGCGATGACACGCACAGGAGACCTCTTCCTGCAGTTCCAGCAGACTGCTGGGTTCAGAGGCTTTTGTAACCACCACTGCAAACAAATCAGCTACTAAATTACACAGTGTTTGTAAGCAAAAGCTAATACACAAACAAACTAGGATAGAGCCTGAAATCAAATGTAAGCCCTGTTAGCTACACCAGCACAACCCCTAAGAGGGAAAGAGCTGGTGCCAAAAGGTAACCACTTAATAGTAAAGCACGGCCTGCAGAGTTCAAGAGTTATTCTGCGCGGAGGCTGCAGCACTGACAGCTTGACATAATTGGAGCATGTTTTGAAAACTCTGGTCTGCTTCTTTTCCATGAATAACGCTGGGAAAACAGGAACAGAGCTCACAGAAGAGCTCCCTGTGCTTGAAGGTGGAAATATACCGCTGCTGAATGTAAGCTGGGAAACCGGACGGCTGGCTGTCAGGGAGCAAGGGAAGAGCTAAGCCTGACAAGACCGGATGGACTTGCACCAAGAAAACCACTTCTCTCTTTACTGAGCAACAGATAAGTTGCAGAAGCGTCTATCTTTCAAGGAAACGCCTACTTCACTGATGAGTCCTGACTGTTGATCAAGCAAGCTTCCAGCCTACCCAGAAAATACCAGCAGTCAACACTTATGCTGATACTAGCCCCCGGATGACAAAAAGGATGTCTGCTGCTGCACGAGCTCACTACAAAAAGCAGAGCTTGTGCTGCTGCAATGGCCTCTCGTGGCAGAGGAACACCTCAAACACCTCCTGGTGCTAGCTGTACACAAACAATATGCTCACGAGGATCCCCAAACCATTTACCGTGGGGCTATTTCAGCATGAACATCGCTCAGTTTCTCCCCAGACGACTTCCTCCATGCCCACTGCAAAGAACTGCACTTATGGAGACAACCTGTCAGTGAAGCAGTGACATTTCACAAGCATAGAGGTCTTAACGCATGATGCAAAGCATATACAGCACAGCGTGGCAAAAGGTGAAATGCAGTAGATTACTTCAGTGACAAGTAACAGTTTTCAGAGGGCTCCACCTGAACGACCCAAACCAGCCAGGAGCTTTCCAACAGAGAGCAGGCCGGGCTAGAACCACAGTTTGATTTTCAAGGCTGTTCAATTGAGAGCTGCTTTTTAGGTTGGGGTCTTTTTGCTAGGGAGAAGAAACAAAAAGATGAGAAAGCAACCACTTCAATTAACAGAGTTTTATTTAAGTATCAAGCACAGTAAGCTTTCACTGTAAACCATGAACACAAAGAAAGCACTTTGAACAAGAAGTGATGGATCAGCACCCGGAGATGCAATAAAGGACACTGGTCCCAAAACATACAAACTTCTTTGTGCTAAAGAAACCAAGTAGGTGTTTGCAAAAGAGCGTTTTTAAACCACTCATACATACAAGTCTCTTGTGCTTTGCTTACACCTTAGAGAGTAACTGCCTCAAATGTTCAGCTGCAGGTCTGCTGTCACCAGGACAAGGCTCAGAAACAACACGTTATTCAAACCAAACGCTGCATAGGGCTAACTGGATGGGATCAGTTGAGACTGTAACTCAGAGACAGAACCGTGACAAAGACTGAGGGAAGAAAGGAAGGGACCACCACAGCTAACCTTGCAGCCCAGAAATTAAACTCAAAAGATGGAAATCTCAAGAAAATCCCTAAGAGAAAGCAAATAAACAAAGCTAAGCAAACACAGGTGAAACCACATGGG